GTTTTAGTTACGAAAATTAGCAAAATAAGCGAGTTTCGCTATGGAATTTTATTAGAAATAAAGATGGTTTTTGAACGCTTTATTTTGAGTCATAGCACGTCTAGTGTTTGTACGAAGATCATATGTTGAAAGAGTACTTCGTATTCTATCGATCAATACTTAATTAAAGATTTTTTTTTCTGTTGATAGATAATTAGTGATGAACGAGATCAAGTGTTTTTAATCTCGGTTCCGGTTAGAAAAATTGTTTGTCCTGATTTTGCCCTTAGAAACACATGTACTAGCAAAAAATGTGATATCATTTTCTAGCAGTATCAATGATTTCTAATATCTTCCCTCTTGAAAATTCATTACTTTTTTAAATTCACTAATACTTCGTCTATTCTGCACATTTATGTGTTCGACAATTCTGTTGCTTACGAGAAAAAAAAAAGAATTAATTTTACTTTCAAAATTATAATAGTAAATATTGATGTGATCGTTGCTCAATAATTTTTAGAACATATGAATCGTGAGACTTTGACATTCAATCATGATTTATACAAACTTTCGAGTTGTTTATTCTATGAAAGATTTCACATGTTCAGAACACTCAATGCAGTTTAGGAATAGAAACATTTTTATTTCAAATAATATCAATCGTTCTCGTTTCAATGGTAGACTCAATTTTCTTCACTTTGAAATTTGAACCATCCACATGTGTGTAGGTGACTAATAACTGACTATGCCTATAGTTATTGAGTTCAATTTTGTTAAAAATATGTTCACATATTTCTACCGGTAACAAATCATAGAGGTATTTTTGTTGTTTTCTTTTACTTAATATTGATATTGATTATTGATCGATTGAAACCATGACAATTTTTCAATTGATATAGTTGTTAGATTTTTGATAGCTCTCAAAACCTTTAAACCTTCTTTTTTATTTATATAAGACTAATTAATTTTTAAGTAATAATTTGATTGTATACTATGGCTTCGTATTGTAAGAATTGATTTATTTAAGGTCAAATCTAACTTTTTTTTTTAGTCAATAAAATCAAATATTTGATTTTTCATCAGAGATTATACAAGAAAAAGAAAACATGACTTTCTCTCATTGTCAACTTTTAGATAATCTCTTTAGATTACGTACTGCAGAGAGGATTGACATTATTCTAATCTCAATAAGAAATATTGTTTTGTTTTGTTTTGTTTTGTTATTAATTACTTATAGAATTCGTGTGAAAAGTCTTGGTCCATCGACTGATATTCGAGCATTAGCTAAAGAAGTAATTAATCGTTGTAAATTAATTCATCCAACAAAATTATTAGAAGTTGAACAATTATTATTCTATTTACAAAATCGTCGTGATACAAATTTACCAAGTGATTCAACAACAGGTGTTTCACAAAAACCAATATCTGATGAACTTGAACAACCATCGATTGATACACAAATTAATGAAACTGCATCATTAAATGATATTGATGATTATGCTGATATGTTATATGAAAATGTTCAAGATAAAATAAAAGGATCAGCACTTATTTTACAATTAGCACGAAATCCTGATAATCTTTCTGAGATTATACAAAAAGGTAAACATACATAAATAAATATTAGTACATATATATTATTTATTTGTTTATATTTAGAAAGTGTTTTAAATGTTTTAACACGTGTTTATAAAGAAGAATGGCATGAAAGTATTGAATTAGCAACAAATATAGTTTATATATTTTTTTGTTTTTCATCATTTACTGATTTTCATCCACTTGTATCACAATATCGTATTGGTGCACAAACAATGACTGTAAGAATTTATATAAATCCAAACCAAAAAAAATAAACAATTTTTTTTTCTCTTCTTTTGTTCTTATAAAAGATTGTTGAAGCTGAAATGAAAAAATATGATCAATGGATGGAAGAAATAACTCGTGAACAGAAGAAAAAACCACGTGATACACGTGCAAATATTACTATTGACAATAAATATAAAGTACTCATACGAAAACAGGAACAATTTTTACGAGGTAAAAAAAAAATATTGATATCTTGTCTTTTTTTTTTCTTTGAATAATTTATCAAATTCTTGTTGGTTTTTTTTTTTGTTTTTAGTCGCATTTTATTTATTACTTAATTTAGCTGAAGATCTTAAAGTTGAATTAAAAATGCGTAATAAATCAATAATTACACAACTTATTCATGCACTTGATCGTGATAATAATGATTTACTTATTCTTGTTGTCTCATTTCTAAAAAAATTAAGTGTCTTTGTTGAAAACAAAAATGATATAGTAAGTTCATTGTTTCAATTTCAATAAGTAGATTAGATAAAATAAGTAATAATAATAAAAAAAAACCTTGACCGGTGAATCTCAAGTAGGAAGCAGCACAATTAAATTCATATATGTATAAGGATATATATATATATATTTACTATTTGATGATATAATCAATTATGATGAAATAATGATGATATGTGAAAAGGGCATTCTATAGACAGGTGTAACTGACATATATCCGCTGAACACTAAAATCAATATAAGAAGAAGCAAAAAAAACCGAAAAATTAAAATAAGACTTCATTTCTTTTCTTTTATTTCATTTTTTTTTTATTGTTACTGTGTTGCTCCTGACTGACTGATGTTTAAGGCGCGATAGCAATGCGTCTGCAATGAGCCACTTAACACGTTCGTTTGCATGATGCATATATACAAACACTTACATACCCTCTCGTCATATCGAGTGTATTATGCTAATTTCACTTCAGTCACGTATGCTTCGTTTAAAAGACGGCGAACAGTCTTATTGAACAAGTATCATCACTGTTTAAGAGGTCCATGTGTGAATTCCAAGGTCATACCTTATGTACAAGGTTATTTCATTCTGTCTGTCACTCCCACCGACTGTTTGTCTTCAGTGTCAGGTAGTCTAGATCAAAATGTTATTGAATAGAATATTATAAAAATGATGAATACTATACGATGAGTGACAGTTAGTGTTTGTGCTTGCATAATTATTGACTGTTATTGAAAAAAACAACGAATAGCAGTATCAATTTAACATTTTATGTGTGCTTACATATATTTATATGTATGTATATACACACATATGTATACCTATATATATGCACATATCAGCGATTTACGTGCCCATTTTTGATGTGAAGCTTTTTTTTCGTATATATTTTGGTGGTCTTTTATTGATCACAATCGTAATCCATATTATCCGTTTTTTTGTTCCTACCAGGTAAAAGACAATACATATACTGATGTATCCATCTTTATTTTCTTTCTTTGATGACTTGTGTCTTTAGCTGAGATATGATGGAGTATTCACGTTGTATTTACTATTGTACTTGACGTGCTGATAATAGATGAAAAATGAGTTTATATGATATATTTTACACAAGAAAAAAAAACCTCTTTGTTTCACTCTGTATACGTTGAGGATGATTAGATTTGAATGATTGTATACTTTTCATGATTCATGATTTTCATTTACAAATTATTACTAATTGCTCAATGATTACTTTCTCTTTTACATGATCGTTTGATCTTTTTTTCTTCTTTCTCTTTAATCATAGGATCAAGTAAGGCGTTCTTTTACGTGAAAATTCTTCATTAAAACATAGTTTTCAATGAGATGTAGTACATTTCTTTTTTTTTTTATTATTATTCTATTTTGAAAATTGGTAATGATGATCTATCTTCTTTCATACTTTTGCTTATCAGTCTGGTTTTAATGAATGTCTCACTTACATATATATATATATATATATATACACGCGTCATCATTTTGTTCTGGTTATCGTCGATACAGTGACAATTGTTTTCTTTTTAAAAAATTATCTATTTTTTCATCTTATTCTCTTTACGAGGGTTATTGTATTTATGGATGTCTCAAATTAAGACCGTTGTCAGTGTCATCGCTACTGTCCATCTTCACCTCCGTTTCGTTTCATTTTATGTCTCGATGCATATGCACTTTATGTCATGAGAAAGAAAGAAAGAACATACATTTACTGTACTGTAAAAATATCGTGTCGGCTTTCGCTTTTTCTCTCTGTCTCCCTTCCTCTGCTCTCCCTCCTCCTCTCTTCTCTACTTCTTGTCACTCATGTCAACATATTAAATATAGTAAATTTTGTTTTTTTTTTTTTCATCTTCAATTGTTCGTCACCTCAATGTTTAGTTAAATATTATTTACACCTTAAAAATATTCGAATGATGACAAGATCTTGAAGATCTGGTATGTGTTGTCATCAGGCATTGCTCATTATAGTAGTTTCTCTTCACCTCAATATTCTCCTTGACTCATATCTTCTGTTCTTCTAAATATAGACAAAACAACAATAACAGAAATACCACAGATAACAGCCACCATTGGATAAAAAAGAATAGCTGACACGAGAAAGAGAACAGATTTGATCTAATATACCAGAATAGTTTGTCAGCACTAATAAGAATTTTTTTTTTTACTATTATTAATAGCCTCTTCAATAGATGGTTGTAAAAACCAAAAGAATAACACATCAGTGTCAGTAGTGACCATTATGTTACAAAAACACTTGACTATGAAAAATTATTTTTCTTGTCGGTAAAAAAAAAAGAAAGAAAACTTCAACTTTGTCTGTGAGATTATGTTATTTTAAAGTAAGCATAGAGGATACTGTGGTTAAATCGTACTTGATTTTTGTGGTTTATTGACGTTTGTGATTTTTTTTCTTTTATTCATATATTTGATAATTATCATGTCATTCTTCATATTTTTTTTTCTTCTTGATTGTGTGATGACAATTACACAACGATCTTTTTTTTTCACGATGACATCTGATCCTATTCACCTTTAAGACCGTATATGATAATCAGGTTTTATGACATTATATTTGTTAGATGTAAAAATTGTGACACATCTTATTACAATCGAAAAAAAAAAACAAGAAAAATTTAGAACAAACTTATAGATCTTCGTCTCCGTTTGTTTTTTCTTATTTTATTCAAACTTTTAACTAATGGCATCAACTAAAAATGAAGACGAAGGTGGTATTGGCAATGATACTTATTCAGGTTTCTTTCATCGATCTTTATCCCCTCATTCATTTGATAGACTACGTTCTGAACATAGTGATTATTTTTATAAACCAAAACGTGGTCCATCAACATGTAAATCAAATGTAACAATAACAAGACCAATTAAAACATTTGAAACAGTAACAAAACTTGTCGAACTATTATCAAAAGGTAATAATATAAAACTACCTAGTAAACAAAATGTTGAAGATATGGAATCACCACCATTATCAAAAAAATTTGATGATCAAAGATCATCATCACATTATTCGAGTTTTTTATCAATGGATGGAGGAGATTTATCATCATCAACATCAACTAATTCATCAGCATTTTCATCAAGATCAAATTCATCTATATCAACAGTAGCTGAACAGGAAACACAAGTTATTATTATTGATGAACCAGTATCTTCACTAACTGAAACTAGTAAGTTTTTTTTTCGTTTTTTTCTAAATACATGTCTAGACATTTATAGTAATACATAAGCAATTCAGATCGAAGGATATTGATGTCGGACATAGAAAAAATAGTTTTATTTGCTTCTATATTATTATTTAAAAATACTAATACAAATTAAAATAAAAAACAAAGAACTATTCAGACAAATATTGATTATTCTTATCTTAAGGACAGACATGTTGAAACAACAAGGACATGTTGAAATAGTCAAGTACTGTTTATATGACTATAAAATCAAATCTAAAAAAAATTCTGTCATAAAATAGTGGAAAAATAAATAATACAGTAATCAGACTCGGAGAAAATCTTTTTCAATACGAAATAAGTACTTTTATGTCCAAAGATAAAATTGATCAATTGAAAAATCTTCGAATTATCTTTTTAAAGAATTTTATCAGAAAAATTTTAAACAGTTAGATTGATTTGAAAGAAAATTTTCTCATTCATTAGATCTAAACATATTCATTACAATTTCAATTTTTTCTCTTTCTTTTTTTATCATTAGCTTCATTCTCTTCAAATTCCGAAGTAAATAAAACAATTACTGATGATGATACAAAACCTAATTTATCATCTCCATGTCATGTACCAGCTATTGGATTAAATATAACAGCAACTAGTATACATCTTGTTTTACTTGAACTCTATCCTCAAAATGTTGATTATTCTACAATACTTTTTCAACGTTATCTTATATCATTAATTATTAATAATGAATATAAAGATTGGTCAATATTAAATGTTGATTTACAAACTATAACTGAACAAGAAGCAAATTTTCGTTTATTTACATTAACACATGAAGAATTTGATCTTGTTCTTATACATTTACAATCATTCATACGTTATAATTCCTCACTAGCTTCATCATTTGTTCTCAATATTGCTTTAACAGGTGAACAAACAAATGAATATGAATTGAAAATTTCATCTCGTTTAAATAAAATCAATTTAAATTTTGATATTATTCAATATCGTGCTGAATCATATATGATTGGTTTAGATTTTTTTCTTCGAAAAAAAATTCGAATTAATAATGAAGAAGATGAATTTATTGAAATTATTAATCATAATCATAAAATTAAACAAGATAAATATGAACGTTATCCTTATATACTTGTTCATGCTGAAGCATCAAGTACATTTTTTTATATTGTTCATTCATCAAGTAAATATTCAGTAATAACATCAAATAATTTATGTTATAAAACTTATTTAAATTTAATGAAATTTTTTCAACCTGGTTTTAATACAAATGATGACGAACAAATGTAAATATACGTTTCTATGAAATTAATAATTTTCGACTAGATTACATGTAGTTAGAAAGAAGAAATTTTGATATATGAAAAAAAAAATGTTCGGCTAGATCATTTATTTAGAATCGAAGAATACGTTGCATTCGTTAGGATTCGACATGTACTTCAACCACTCTTGGTTGGATTTGTTCTATGTTTATCTAACAGATGAAGTATTTCTTAGTATTATACGATAAATAGTTCAAAACCTATGCATATTTTACAAAACAATATCTGTCATTTGCATCCATCATCGAAAAATACTGGGAAATAATTCATTTTGTAGATAAAGTATTGCTTTTGGCACATATCGAACCATCGTACAGATTGACACTTTATGATCACATGTGAAATCGAAGTTGACATAGTTCTTACTTTTTGTTTGACATAGTTAAAAAAAAAACAATTTGTTACATCATCAGCTTCCCGCTTATTTGATTCTTAGTTTTTAATTATATGCTGTTTTATTGTTTCATATAGAATGCCAGCATCTTCATCTCATCTATTATCATCACCATTTACTATTCGACGATCTCCACCAATATCATTTGATTTTAATCGCCAAGATCTATGTAAAAATTGTCATCGTTCATCATCAATCTATTCATCACAAATACCAATAACAAGTTTTACACGTTTATCACAACGATATTTTCCTAATGATTATTCTATATCAAATAAACCACATTATATTTATCGTGGTTGGTCAAATAGACGAACAGCATCATATGATAAAAATATTACTACATATGATGTTCATACACAAACTGATGATAGTTTTCTGGAATTATCATCATTACAAATACATTTAGCAATGCGTCGGTCATTATTGTCAATGATTACAATGAATATAGCATTAACAATAAAATTAATATGTAAACTTTATCCATCAGTTAATTATTGTATGTTAACTGGAGAATTTTTTCAATTAGAAAAACATGTTCTACAAGATTTAAAGATATTTATTCAATCAATTATGGAACAAAATATACCATATATTTGTCAATTAAAATGTGAACCACTTATATCTGCATTTGGTTGTGCACTTCCTCGAATTTATTTCGATATTATTAATGATGAAGGTGTTTTAGGCAATGATTGTATTAGTTAATACTCATTTCATATGAGATATTTATTTATATATTTTTTCTTGTTTATCTTCTGCGCAAATTACTTTTTTTTTTCCTCAGGATTTAGTTTGTGTGCGCGTGTGTGTTTTTGTTTGACAGATATAGAATGTAGTTCGACCTATTTTCAATAGGCTTTTATTAATACATTTCTTTTCTCCTATATATTTTTCTGGATATAAAATAAATTGACCAAAATGTCAAGTAGAATTTACATTACTTAGGTGAACATTGGAATAGATTTTAATTTCTATTTATTATGATCGTATAGAATTGTAGAAAATTTTAGAATATTAACGTTAAATTTGTGCTGCTATTGACTTGAGATTCATCGTAAAGATGATGATCAATTCGATAATAGATTTCATTCGGTATCAGACTGAACTGATCTTTGATATCAGTCAGATGTACTTTTCAACTGGCAAATAAACGATGCCAGATGATAAATCTGTCATCTTATGATATGTTTATTTTATTAAGTTATTCGCTCAGTAATTTTTCTTGATGTATCTCGTTGTAAAACGAAAACTGTTCAAAAGAGATTAATTATTTTGAAGTTCAGACTCAGTATTTTAAGTAGATCATAAAAAGATATGAAAAATTTCTAAAAGGATAAGTCTTATCAGTAGTTTTCTTGAGAATTAGAGGTTTTTTTATTGGAATTTTAACCTATGGTACGATATGTGCCAACTATTTGAATGATAGCATTTCGCTGTGAAATTTGTTCACAAATAGATCTAATTGTAATTAGAATTATCTAAAAATTTCAACTCCAAAATATGTTTATGTTGTGAAATATAGAATTTTCAAAGAACATGCTGTTCATATATTGATTTTGAGATACGAGCGATTTTTTGAATATTCAATATTTTGTAAATGAAACAGTCTATTATCCGGTAAAATAGCTATAATTCTCAGGAAAAGGGTGACAAAGACTGATAATTTTGAAATTTTTCATACATTAATGAAGTTCATCTTAATCCAAAAGTTCGAAATTCAAAATGATTAATCACTTAGAATGGTTTCCTCATCAATAAAGTGTACATAACTTACATACAAAGACATATTAGAACATAAAGTAATTTATTATGTGGAATGTTCTTCTCATTAAGAAAAAAGTTTATCTTGATAATTTTTATAATATAAACAACATCTGTTTAGCGTGATCAAAAATTAGTTATGAAAGTTGCTCGATTAATTCCATGTCCTCAAGCTGATTTATTAAATATAATACTTCGTCTTTTACTTAATCTATCATTTGATCGTGATATTCGTGCACAAATTATTCGTATTGGTTTATTACCAAAATTAGTCGATTTAATTGGTAAATTATTTTAATAGTACAAAAAAAAAACAGAAAAAACAAAAAGTTTTTTTTTTTCTGTCTTATAGATGATGAAAATCAACGTTTGATTTGTTTATGTTTATTATATCATTTAAGTATGGACGATCGAACAAAAGGTTATTTCACATATACAAAATGCAATCAACAAGTAAACATTTGTTTAATTTAAGGTTACCCCCTCCCCTTCCACGACAGTGTCCGTTGTTCGCATGATAGATGGACATATGACTTTCTTGCTCAGAAATGATTGAATATAACGCAGAAAAGTATTTTTAAGAAAAAAAATTTTTGCTGGATCCTTACCCTCATTTTTTCGAGAAAATTGCTTCTTCCTTCAAAATTGTTTTATGTTATATATCATTCGATACAGTCTAATGCACTGATTCTGAAAATACTATTTTTATCGATTAAGTATTTTTTCAAAGCCAAAAAAATTAAAAAACCTAGGTTTTTTGGAAACCTAGTGTACAGTCCAAGAATGTTTATGCTAACAGGAATTAGAGACAGTAGATAGAAGAATGTTCTAGCAAAGTTTGGATGTTGAATGTGACTGGATCGAAGTATGTTTCTCTATACTTAAATATTGAAAAAAAAACGATTTTTATTTTCAGTCAAAAGTCAGTCTAGATACACACTGTGGGGAGGAGGAATTATCCTTAAGATTACTTTTGAAATTAAAATAAAAACTATTTTAGTTAATGAAAATGATTATTGATTGTAAAGAAGAACGTCTTGAACCAGAAGTTATTGCATTAGCAATAAATTTAGCATTGAATCCTGGTTGTGCTGAACAATTATGTGACTATAAACATGGAAAAGGTCTGAAATTACTTATGAAAAGAGCTTATAAATATAAAGATTCATTAATTATGAAAATGATACGAAATATTTCATCACATGCTTCACCTGATATTAAAAGTCAATTTATTGTAAGAAAAAAAATTTCTCTTTTTGTTTCTAATTTAAGTTCGAATGATTTCTTCTTTGTTTTTTTTGTTTTTTCTTAGTCATATGTTGGTCCCTTAGGTGAAACATTAGTTACAGAAAAAGATGAAGTATTTCTTACAGAAGTTGTTGGTACATTAGCTAATTTAACAATACCTGATATTGATTATCAAGCTTTAATGGATGAATATGGTCTTGTTGAATGGATTAAATCAAAATTAAAACCAAATTCAGCTGATGTTGAATTAACATTAAATGTTGTTGTACTTGTTGGTACACTTTGTGCTGATGATGCATGTGCTGAAGTCCTTGCAAAAAGTGATATTATTCAAATTCTTATTGAACTTTTACATGGTAAATATGTATAAAAATTTTTTTTTTTTATTCAAAATAGATTTTAATATTTTGAGAAAGAAATTTTCGTTTGTTTGTTTCTTTTTTTATTATAAAAAAAAGCATTTCGAAGACGAACTAATAGAAGAATAGGTAAGGCTTTAGAACAAAAGAAAAGATTATATACTTTCATCTTATACTGATCTATCGCTATTGAAATTAGTCAATATAATTTAAATAAGAAGAAGAAAAAGAAAATTTTATTTTATTATAGCTCAACAAGAAGATGATGAAATTGTTTTACAAATATGTTATGTATTCTATCAACTTTGTTTTCATAAATCAACTCGAAATGTAATTATTAAAAAGACAGGTATAGAAATTTGTTTTTTTTTCTTAATTTATTATTTTGTTTAAATATTTAATAGAGGCACCGGCTTATTTAATTGATCTTATGCAAGATAAAAATAAAGAAGTACGACGTGTTTGTGATATGACACTGGAAATAATAAGTGTATGTATTATATTATTATGTAAATAAATAAAATAAAAATAAAAAAGGATATGTTTATAATTAGGAATGTGATCCCGATTGGGCAAGTCGTATTAAACTTGCTCGTTTTCGTAATCATAATCAAACATGGCTTGAAACAATTGAAGGACAACAAGTTTCATATGAAGATGATGAACCAACACCAATAAATAATACAGGACCTTATGGTTTTGATCCAATGGCATTTGGAGATCAAGATGATTATCTTGATCAATTTGGTTATAATGATGCAGGTAAAATTTTTGTTTTTTGTTTCATTTTAAAATTATTTTACTAATGAAAATATAGTAGATGAATTTCCATTAGATGGTCGAGAATCACCAGATATGAATCATTGGAATTCAATTAATAGTGGTGGTGAGATGGATATTGATAGGTAAGAAGAAAGAATGAACATAAAAAATAAAGAAAACTTCATAAAAAAAAATAAAATATGTATAATTCAAATAGTAAACCGTTTCTCAAATCTGAACCGACTAATACTAATAATCGAAATACTAATCGTTCAGGAACTAATAATACCATTATGAAAAGACGTGGTGTTTATGAATAACATACTAACCTTGATCATGTGAGATTTAATTTATGTATTAGATGTTATATATTTATTTAATGAATCTTTTTCAGAGAACCTAATACATATATGCGTGATGATTATATGGGAATGGATATTGATGCTGCTAATTTTACAAAAGCTCAACGACCAACTCGCTGAATTAATATTTACTTTTTTTTTTCTAGTTTTAACTATCGAAGATAGATCCTTTCTCTCTTTTTTTTTTTGTAAAGTTATATATCTCTATTGTTGCTTATATAATAAATATTTTGTGTTGTGGGATTGATCGTCAATAATTTTGTTTTTTTCATTAAACACAAACCAAGAAAGATTCTCATTTTGTCAACTAATATTTACATAAGAAAAAAAAACAAACGGAGAAAGTAAAAATATCCGTATAACAACGATAACATTAATTCTTTTCAGTCGTACTTGTCACAATGAATAATAATTTATTATACTTTAAATCCCTATTAAGAGTATTATATGTACATTCTTATTAATTAAGGTTTATCTCATAACTGAAACATTAAAGAATGTTTGCATTTGATTGATTCATCTATAAACAAAAATAAAATAACTTTTGATATATTGATAAACTTTTTAATATATATTAATTTCATTTCAAGTGCATACTTTTGTGTTGATATAATGCATAGAAGACATATTCATAAGTATATACTTAAGATGTTTCAATGAATTTCATTCTCATCAATCGTCCGCATTATTATTCATTTATAAATAAAAATGAAATAGAAGCTACTTATAATGGAATTAAAAGTACTTATGAATATTCAAAATAAAATTACTAAGAGCAACACGCCGACACACACAAAAAAAAATGTATTCATAAAACAGGCATGAAAATCAAATATGTGATTGGGTCTTCTTTGAAAATATTAAAAAGCTAATCTTGATATATGTTGCTATGAGATATAAAAATTCAAATATCAATAACTTTTTAGAGAGTTTTGTCAATTGAACAAGTATTTTAAAATCGTAAAGTAAGAAAAAATTAATCATGTAGGAGAGTTTCGTTCCAGCAATTCTCGAAAAGAATTTTGTTGCTTCTGCATTCGAGATCTTGACTTTTTTTTTTATTTGATCGTTTAAACAAACAATAAGCAGAAAAAAAAATTAAAAAATTTGTTGCCTCGAAAGTGAACATGTCTAATCAACGAAACATGTATATAATTCGTTATTCTCATATATTTTTGCATAATTAGTCGTAACATTGAAGTTTTTGTGCTATAATCGACTGCATTTCAATTATAAAATATCATTATATACGAACAGTAGTTCATTTGGATTAACATGATTCATTTTTAATTTATTGCTTTTCTTGTAATATTGATTGTTATTCCACAAAACGATCATTCTATTTTTCTTTAATCGATACTAGCTGTTATCAATGTGATCATCAATTGTATCGAGAATATTGTGTACAATGATTAGTATCATTACTCAGTTCATGTTTACACTTATTTCAATAATACTGAAGAATCGCAGAATATTATCATTTCGAGTAGGATCTGGTTTACAAATACATTCCGTCAATTAATTAAAACGCATAGCTATACAGGTTTTGAAGACATCTGTGATGTGGACAAATGTACATGTGATCCGCAACGATATGAAATTGTTGATACCATGATATTATACATTGATACTAAGAATAATTGTATCCAAAATTTGGAAACATGTGTAAATTCAATTAAAGAAAATCTGAATGTGTCAGTATTAACCAAATTCCTATTCAAACTAACAACATTTGTCGAAATGCATTCAGACATCAGATATACCTCATACATGTTTAGAGTATTAATTTATTGATATTAAGCTGTATCAAAATAATGTGAAAAGCTCAAGTGTATTATGCATTATCGTTATTGATATCTGATAGTATATATGAATCCAATAGATCCTTTGGAAGAAAAAAGAGATTTATTTTTTGTATAATCATTTTTCGGACACTAATAGAATCGTTACAGACTGCAGTTGTATTTAAAATCGTTCTTACAATTATAATATCAACACATCTTGACTAAACAGAAACAATGACTTTAATAGAGACACTTCATCAACTTTCTCTATAGATTTGATATCTGAATATATCAATGTTACATTGTGTAACTATCATAACAATACTACATTTACTAGAAAAACAATCGACTCCTCAGCGATGTCATTGCTCCAACTGACATTCATTTTATCTTTATCTACTAAAACAACTTCATATAAGGCTTACTTTACAACAAGTACTAATACACAAAGTAAATTATGACTATAGTGAGTTGAAGAAAATATTGATTTCCTTCTAAAATATTTTTGTAAGTTTAGTTCCAGATAAAGCTAATCTTGGTAGCACTGCAGCTGCTGCTCATTGCTAATAATATCATATTATCGATCGTTCTATTTGCTGTTGAGATTTTCTTTTTTAAATAATTCTATTCAGGCAGTCTTCGCAATACTTTTGATTGATTAGTTGCATATCAAATATGAATGAAGTATCTTTTACATAAGTTCATATTATTTTACAATACTCATAAAAAAGAAAATATTAGCCTGAGCAAAAATCGATCTAACCATTTCTCTAAAGCAATTTCTACACTTTTTTGTCAATTTTTATTCTTTTAAAAGCAAAATTCTCTTCTTATTAGTTTTTTCAATGCGATTGTTTTAATGATGCATGAATCACACATGTTCATTTTTATCTTTTTCTAAAATCCAATGTCAGTCGAACGAATAGGAAAAATAGATGCCAGATTTAGTCATGTAATTGCAATACAGACGACACAATACAAAAAATATTATAATTGTGAACAAATGAAAATAGTATGATTTTGTATTTATTATCATTGATATGCTTAACTTGACCGAATTCCATTTAACAATCAATAATCAATGTTATCTTTTTTTTTCTTCCCTGTTTTTTTTATCGCATGGGAATAATCGCACTGTAACGATCACTATTTGTTTGAGTTTCAAAATGTGTTTCTTTTATCAACTACTCTCGTCTAGTTTTTACATAAAAATATCGTTGAACTCACTGTAAAAGTTCACTTGTACTCAACGTCGTCTTGTTTGTTTTAGTTTAATTAATGCTATTCAAGTACCACTTTTAGCTGATATTTCATAGTAATTGCAGAGAGTACACATTTGGTAGTGCACTACACTCGCCATTAGTACTCTTTTATTATGACAACATAAGATGGTATTGAATTAACATAACATACACGTAACTTCGATGTAGAAAGTTCAAAAAAACAAACAATATAATGAGTGTGTATATATATCTATTTGTTTTTTTGTAACCTATAGTTTACTATTTATTGACGTCAAACTATAATGCATCTCGATGTTTTCTGAATATCCCGCAAATGAAACCAGCTAAAGAGTTGCAATTTTGATCATTCGAAAAAGAAATGTGAAAAATGTAAAACTGTGCTAAATTATCTCGACTATGAGTTGGTGAAATTAACCAGTTTTTGCTATAGAAATTTTCGACAAAAAAAAAATTCTTCACTAATTATGAGTTTCAATTTAGTCATTCAATAGCAAAGACATTTCGTTATTGTTTTATGCAAGACCAACTCTTCAAGCTTATTCCATTTAATAGTTTTAAGAATTTTACTGGACGTCTTAAAATCAGCCAACTGACCCCTGATTAATTTGAACTGTATTAAAATAAGTCGAATGGCGATGTTTGTTTGTACTTTTTATATGATTGTTGACTACTAGATCACGATTTTTGTTGTTCAGTTTGTACAAAACTTTTAATATCAGAAAGCGTATGTTCCAGATCTTGTCCTTCCGACATAAAATTGCTTCAAAACTAAAAATAAGAATTACCATTCGACTCAAGTTAGTCGAATGTTCTAAATTCAATATAGTCCGTTGACCGATTTCAATGCGTTCAGTGAAACGTTCATAACTATTAAATGGAATAAGCTCGAAGACTTGGCCTTGCATAAATCAACAGAGAAATGTATTTGCAATTGATCGAATAAATTTTAACTCACAATTAATTGAGAATTTCTTTTTTCGAAAATCTCTATAGCAAAAAGTGATCAGCTTAATCAATTCATAGTCAAAATAATTTAGTATAGTTTTGTATTCCTCACATTTCTTGTTCGAATAGTGGAAACCACAGATTTTTAGCTAGTTGCATTCGAGAGATATTTAGAAAACATCAAGATGTATTATCATTTGACGCCAAGACTAACCATTGACATACTGTCGTTGATCTATTTATATTATTATTATTGTTCCATCTTTTATTATTCTATTTCCTCTTAGTTCTGGTCTAGTTTAAATATTATGCATTTAAGTAGTAAATATTCAATGAAATAATTGTTTATATAAATTCAATGTTCTACTCTTCGATTCTATCAAATTAAATTGAAGAATACATAATCACAACTATCTGGTAACTTGACAATAAATCATAAAAATGTGTTCATTACACTTCAATATAGATAATTTTTTTTATTGCTTTTTACATGGCTATAAATAAAAAAAAAGCTGTGATTCTAACCAGAAAAAAAATTTTGAAAATCGACATTCGATAAAAAAATAAGTTTCTATCTTCATTTTCTTAGCATTAAAAAAGTAATTGTGCTATGAAAATTTTTTATACCTTGAAAATACCTCAGTCCGTCTTAGCTTTTAAATGTATTCACATTCACATTTTCTAAATTTAGAACTTATTTTCAATTTACTATATAAAGTCAGTAACATTGACCAGCGAAAAAGAAAAAGAAAAAATGATCCGGCGTACTTTGATTTACACTATAAGCTTCTTATAATCTTTCTTTTTCCATTACCTATCATGACAATAATAGTCTTTGGTAAATATACATTATAAAATTACAATCTAAATATAACAATAGTATGTCAAATATTATATTTTAACAGTAGCTTAATACACAATGCACCTGCATGCCATATCGCCTATATATTGCAAAAGATAATGACAAATAAATTAAAAAAAAACT